CTGCCCAAGAACAACCGGCTGGGCGGGCCCGGGTCGCTGCCCAAGGGGCTGGCGCAGGCCCCGCTCGGCCGCTCGCTGCGCGTCCTCAATCTCAGCGGCAACCGCTTCGCCGAGCTGCCGCCCGCCCTGCTCGGCCTGCGCGGCCTGCAGCGCCTCAGTCTGGGCGGCAACCGTCTGCACAGCATCCCGCCAGACATCCAGGGCCTGCAGAGGTCAGTCTGGGGGGTGGGGGGGGCGTGCTGGTGCCCCCAGTCCTGACCTGAAGCCCCTCCCTCTGCCCTACTTGCTGATGCCCTGCACTGCTGACCCACAGCCCCTCACTCCCAACCCACATGCCCCCCCGCCCTCTTCTGCGCGTGCACACAAGACAGTCCCTGAGTCGTACACACACACGTGTGCACAACAGTCCCCAAGCCCTGCACATGCGCACACCAGACAGTCCCCAAGCCTGCACATGCAGACACACACATGGGACATCCCCAAGCCCTGCAGACATGCACACACAGGGCAGGCCCTAAGCCCTGCACACACACATGCACACATGGAACAGTCCCCAAGCCCTACACATGCACACGCAACAGTTTCCATGCCCTACACACACACACACACACACACAGCACTTCTACGCCCTACACACACACGCACATACACACACTGGACAGTTCCCAAGTGCATGCTCACACAGATACACTCACATCAGTCCCCAAGCCCTACACATATGCACACACTGGACAGTCCCCGAGCCCTCCACACAAACACACACGCAACAGTCCCCAAGTCCTATGCACACCAGACAGTCCCCAAGACCTGACCCTCCGTGCAGCTGCCAGGGCTGCTCTCACCACCCTGCCAGGCTGCATGCTGCCACATGCATATGTGCACACAGAGCATGTGATGCCTCTGCCTCCAGTTATCTGCCCCTTGCTCCCACCAGACGTAAGCAGCTCCTTGCTAGGGCAAACCAGGAGGTGCAGGGAAAAACTTTAGTGCTGAGCAGAGCAAAATCCCAGACGTTTGTTGATGTTTAAAAAAACTGCCTGGAGCAGGATGGGAGGACCCAAAAAGAGGATGAATCCAGGTAAACTTGGATGTATGGTAACCTTAAGCAGGTGGGAACCCAGGTACCATGGTACCTACTTAGAACAGGACCATCTTCAACCAAAGTAGTGGTTCTCAACCTTTTTTGTCGTAGTAAACATCAGTGGCCAACCCCAACCCAGTAAATAGTTTAAGTAGCTAGCCTTCTGCCAGCCTGCAAGTGGAAACGGACAGTTTCCCACATTTTTTTCTTTTAAAGGAGAAAATCTGTGATTTTCTACATTTTTCCCATGACTGTTCACAACCCTTTCATATATTCTCACAACCCTCTGGTTGAGAAACACTGAACTAGATCATTCTAGCCAGGGCTTTGTTGAGCTGGGCCTTAAAAATTTCCCAGGATGGAGATCCTATCACCTCTCTAGGTAACCTGTTGCAGTGTTTCACCACCCTCCTAGTGTGACATTTTTTCCTAATGTCCAGTTTAAATCTCCCTTGCTTGCCCTTGATGTGATGGCAGCTGGACTAGGGGAGCTGGTAGCTAAGACTGTTTCAGAGTCCTTGAAAGACGTGCCAACCCTAAGTCTGAGTGCCTCTTCAAACCCCAGCTTGAGAGGGAGAAGTGCAACCCTTCCCACACGGTGGCATGGGCAGAGGAGCTCCAGGGCTTGTCCTTGTGATGGGGCAGGGAAACGAAAGGTGTTGCTTGAACTTGTTTTTTGAACTGCATGTGGTCATATCCAAGCAAAGATGCAGCACTCATGTGAGTTGAAGGCCTGGACAGGCCCCCTTGGGCTCAACCTAGCCTGGTGACTTGTGTGAAAAGTGCCAGATGCCTCATCTGATATGAGGTAAGCCCAGGGGGCCCAGGGAAGGCAGTACACATTTCTCCAGCAGAGATGTGCTTTGGGAGTGCATTTCAATTGCAGAGGGGAAAGGTTGAGGTTTTAAATCCCATTAGCTATCTAAACCATTTGAACCTTATGACATCTAATACAGATGCTGCCATTTAATGCTACACCATCAGTGAGGTACCTTGAGGTAGCTGACAGTTTTAAGTCTCTTTTTCCTAGTATAGCACACCCCACTCAAACAAAAATCGCATCGGTAGTTTTGCTGCTGTATCAGGTTTCCTACAATAATTAGTTGTCCAGTCGTAAGTGTCTTTTAAGCGTTACTACTCCCAGAGTTTCTCCTTGTCATCTCATGTTTCAGATTAATTCTCCAAGTTTAATATCTGACTTCACGTGGGTTGCTAGTGTCGTGTTTTTCAGCGGGTGAAAGTTGGAAAGGTCAATGTAGTAATTGAGAATTGTTCAGGAAGAAGAGGCCATCCCAGTGAAAACAGGGGTGAGAAGAGTAAGGGTCGGGCATTCATTTGATATACATAATGTTCTTCAAGACAACATCCCAAATTTTCACTTAGTTATAGGACTTCCAGTGGGAGTAGGAGACCGAACCCCCCCCCCCATTCCAGCTAGGCAAGTGGCAGCAGGGCATAGTCCCCGCTCCTGCGCTGCTATGTCCATATCAGTACTGGGAGCCAGGACTCTGTGTTGTCGCCACTTGCCAGCCAGCCCAGGAGAGCAGGCACTACCGCTGCTTGCCAATCAGCATGTGAGGATGCAGGTGTGGCAGCGCTGGTAGCGGGGGCTCTGCCCTGCTGCTGTTTGCCCCCCATCTTCCTGGAGAGAGCCACACCTACATCCTGCCCCTGCCTCGGCTGGGGAAGAGGCAGCAGGGCAGAGCCCCCGACCAAATCTTTTTCCTAATCAACTTGGATGCTTCAAATAGATTCAGAGCTTTTAATTGGTCTCCTGATTCAATTTGGATTCGGAGATTCGGTCCCCAAATCGGGCTGAATCTTCTCCAGATGGAATCAGCTACGAAGCTTCACACAGCGCTGGTGATTACCTACGCATCAGCCCTGTTGTCTCTGCAAATTTGTCTACAAAGAGACAAGCCTTTACCTCTCTCTAAAAGTGCAATTTCAAGAAGTTAAATGAATAAAGGGTATCAAACAACAAGAATGCACTTTTTGTAGAAAACATTGATTAAATTGAGGCTTCCTGACCAGTGATTTAAATCATGACTTAATCAATTTGGTTTAAATCGTATCCACCCTGGAAAAAACTCTAGTATATAATGGCAAAAGGACTTTTGCTGGTGCAGCTGCAGCCATATTTAAGCTGAAGGCCTTTCTGACATAACTTTGTTGATCTAACTTAGTGATTCTCACCTTGGGGTACCTTGAGAACCTTTCGGGGGTATTCTGTGGTGCTATGCAATGTTAGCACTGTTAGGTATGCAAACACGATTCACAAGAGAACCCAGAGATTTCAAATATGAATCCAGAGTGTTAAAAATATTCTGACCTGCTGTGATCTTTCTGAGTTCTCTGCAGCAGGAAAATTGCTCTGTTATTTTTCTCTAGTCAAAAAACAAGAGAAAACTCAGAGTTGACACTTTCTGAGGAGTACCTCAAATCTATCTAGGGTGTCTTGAGATGGAAAAGTTTAGATCAATAATTCTCAACCTTTTTAATGTTTCACACTGATAATGCAGAAAAAAACCATGGCTATTGACCAAGTCTTAGTCTGAGCACAAATGTTGATATTGCTTCTGCCACAGGACTGCATTTTATTGCACTTGGGTTTCAGGAGTGGGATTAAGCCTCTGTAATGCTACTTGAGGTTGGTCTTAACTGTGGAAATTCTTCACTGTTTTTAATGAAGCATAGCATTTGGCTTCTTGGCTTTGCTGATGTCAACTTGAATGTTGTTGTCTGAGTCTTCATACAGTCTTTAACTCAGGAGGAGGCAAAATATGGCCCACAGGCTGGAGCCAGTCTGCCAAGGGATTATATCCGGCCGTGCCAAATCCCTCAGCCCCATCTAGCCCCAACACGGGGGGTGGGGTCCAGCCCAGGCCACGGCATGTGTGGCTGGTCCTGCTGCCTGTGGGCACAGGTTAGCAGCCAGACTTGACTTCCTGGCAGCCCCCACAGTAGCGGCTCATTCTGCCTGGCTGCTGCTGCCAGTGTCCCCGATGCCACTGGACTTAGCCCTGCTGCCCAGGCGCCCCGCTGTCTGCCCCACAGGCACTGGTTCTGTAGGCAGGGGCTGGCCACTGCCTACGGAACCAGTGCCCATGGCAGGGATGTGTGGAGAACAGATTGGTGCTCTGCCCCAGGCCCCAGCCTCATGCTGTCACCACCACCCCACAGTCTCAGCCCTGGCCACCCATCTCACTCCTGCATGCCGCTCCCCACCTGCCCGCAGCCCCATCCCATCCACCTGGCCAAGGGCTGGTGTCCACGGAGACTTCCCACATACCCACTCTGTCCGGCAGCTTCAGCAGTGGGTTAGAGGCAGACAGGCCTGGGGCGAGATAGGATCAATTGCTCCCACCTCTCTGAGCCAGGTTAGCCCTTCCCCTCTCCTCCCCACCTCAGGCCCACTACAGCTCACTAAAACTCCTTAAGTGGCCCTCCAGCCCAAATAATTGCCCACCCCTGTTTTGACTGGTTTAATTCCATTGTCTGCAGTGGAGTGCCTGGATTGACTTGAGATATATATGCCAGTGCAAGTGGAAATAGGATCTCTTTGAATAACTGAACACAGTGCAAGAAGGGGAAAAGTGCATCAGAATTGATGCTTATAATATAACGTAACTCTTTTCTGTATCTCTGTCATGTCTTATTCTTTTTTATCTTGCTTCTGATATTGCTAATTAATTCTTAGGTATTGGAGGACTGGTGGCTCAAGGTCCAAATGATTAGTGTGTTAATTGTAGTGTTAATAGCAAGGATGCTACACGTGCGCCCAATTTAAGGTACCATAAAGTGGCAAATGAGCTATAAAAATGTTCCATATCATCTAGAACATTTTTATAGCTGATTTGTATGCTGCCTTAAATTTAATGTGACTGTGGGTAGAATGGGGCCAAATGAGCTGAAAGTCCTCTGCTAGGGACTTGAAACCCCTGCTTGGCATGGGGAATCAGAGGCTCCTGATGGAGTTTAAAGTCCCCAGTTGGGTAAATCCCTTCAGTTCCAAGAGCTTCTGATCTCCTGCACCTGGGAGCCCTGGCCTGGACAGCCCCTTGTCTCAAACAGACCTTAGTGTGGTTCTGAGGCGAACAATCAACTGATGGTCAGCTCCGGCCCCAGCAT